TTCCTGCTGGAAATGAACTAAGTCTTTCCAAGCCAAAGCTTAGAGACACACCTGGGCTGCAGTTCCCACGTGGAGAGTTGCAGGAAGTATGTGTCTCTACTAAAATCCGTGTCTGTAGTCTCTTGACCAATTGTGTAACTCTTTGCAGTAACTGCAGCTGTTTGAGGAATTCAGGACAGTGGTAGAGCTGAGGAAGTTTGTCCTTCTGAGCACTTTTTCAGAGTTTATACTTCATGAGGCAAACTGGGTCTAGTCAGCCTTACACTAATGCAGAGTATGTAGGATTTAAAGCTACCTATGGCAGGTTTGTTGGCAGCATTGTGTGTGTTTTGTGCACTACAGAGATAATAATACTGACAATTAGGATAGCTTGGTGAGAAGTTGTGTACTGCTGGAGCTTGTACTCAGTGGTATTCCAAAGACATCTAACCCTGAGGTGGTAGGGATAACATGAGAGTTCTGTTTCAAGAATACTCTGGGTTTTAAAGCTTTGATCTCTGATATCTTTTGGCAGGCTGGGTTTTAAAGCTTTGATCTCTGATACCCTTTGGCAGAGAAGACAGTCTGGGAAGTGGACCAAAACCACCCTTGAGAGCCAGAGATTTCATGGCCAGTAACCCTGAGCACTTGGAGATCCTGAAGAAGATGGGAGTCAGTTTGATTCATCTGAAAGATGGAAGAGTACAACTGGTGCAACATGCAGTGCAGGTAAGACCTGACAGGATCTTTATTGGTTTATTTGTTTTGTTAGAACTGTGAGAAAAATCCTACAGGCACCTGGAGGCTCAGGAGGCACTGCCAGGCTGTGGAAGGAGGCACATGAGTTGGGTGTGCAGCTACACTGTGCAGGCTGATGCTTGCTAATATTTCCCCTCAGCACTTTGAACTGACTTTCCATTCAATTAGGTGGAGGCTGTTCCTGTTAAAGTGATGTAGCTAAAAGCACCTGCTCAGAAAATGCTGCTTTTCCCTGTGGGATTCTTCATTTCTGTAGGAGATCTGTGTGTTTGTGTCTCCTGAGTGCTGGAGGCACTGGAATGACAAACAAGTGCCAGCAAACAAAACTTCAGTTCCTTTTCCCTCGAGTTTCTCAAGCATTGCAGATAAACCCCCTGGTTCCTTACTCTGCAGGCAGCAAGTTCCCTGGATGCTGAGGATGGGCTGAGGTTCATGCAGGAGATGATCGAGCTCTCCAGTCAGCAGCAGAAGGAGCAGCAGTTACCTCCTCGTGCTGTGCAGATTGTTTCCCATCCCTTCTTTGGCAGGGTGGTCTTGACTGCTGGACCAGCTCAGTTTGGGATGGACTTGTCCAAGCACAAAGCAGGGGTATGTGATCTGTTCTGAGCTTCCCTTCCTTGCTGCACGAGCCTGAGTTTGACAGTGCAGGTCATCCTGCAGGGCAGGCAGCCAGAGGGTGATCATTAGTGACAGTGCCAGGGCAGAATGGCAGCAGTGCCAGTCATTTGGGTGAGTGCTGTGCCAAGCCTGTGCTCTGTGCTCAGCTCCTGAGCCATCAGTCATGCTCAGGGTTTAACATGCAGGCACAGTGAGTGCCTGCAGGGCAGGGCTGAGGACATGCTGATTTAAGGGAAGTGTTTCCTCCATGTCAGAAGCCCTTTCAGAGTTAAAGTAAGCTACTCTTGAGCAAGTTTTTCTCCAGGGCTGTAGCTAGAAGGAAGAAGGGAATATCACAGAGGCAATGTTCCCTGTTGGAAGCAGGAGGAAAACCCAGTGGATTTGCTTGGGCAAGGTGCAGCCCCAAAGAGGAGTTCAGAGACACTTCACAGGTATAGACAAAACACAGTGGATATGAGAGGTTTTCACTCTTTCTTTGCTGCTTAGAACTCCAGTTTCAGGGTAAGGATTCCCCTGCATGGACAGAAAACAACACTAAAGGCATTAGAGTAACCAGAGAAACAAATACACTTAGGAACCTTTTAGGAGCTTGAACCTAATGCTCTAATTCTTTGTTTTTGTTTTGGGGGTTTTTTTTTCCAAACAGACAAGAGGATTTGTGGCAACCATTAAGCCATATAATGGGTGCTCAGAGATCACTAATCCTGAGGCAGTGAAAGAGAAAATTGCTCTGATGCAGAGGGGGCAGTGCATGTTTGCTGAAAAGGCAAGGAACATCCAGAAAGCTGGAGCCATCGGAGGCATTGTCATCGGTAAGGAAAACTCCAAGTGCTGGGGTTGTGCAAGTGGAACCTGCAGGTTACAGACTGGGAGACACAGGGAGGCTGACAAGCTGTTCAGCTGAGGTGCCAGTGCTCCAGTGCAGAATTTGTGCTTTCAGAAGATGAAGAGATGTTTGGGGTTTGTCTGGGTCTGTGCAGAAAGTGT